GACGTGGAGTCGTGACGCTGGGAACACGTAGGTCATTTGTCTCCAACGCCCCCAAGAAACGGTCTTGCGGCCTCAAACGTGTCCAATCAGAATGGAGTCCTTTCTTGTAGACTTAGAGTTGCAATACATACTCCCATTCTCCCAGCCGATGCTTTTGCTCGTCCGAGAGGGAATCAAACAAAACACTTCCCGAAACAACGGGCAGCTCGCAGCGGAGCTGTACGTTGGAAGCCATCGCTATTGGTGTTGGAGGCCATCGCTATTAGGTTGGAGTTGGGGGCTGGTTCCTGGTTCCTTATGCTAGTAGGTCGGAGGCCATCGCGGACAGCTCGCAGCGCGGTTCCCGCTGTTAAACACGCGGGTCATCGCTCCTCCTCTCGGGGCGGCTTGATGTCATCGTCTGAAGCCGTGGTTGCGACGTCTCGCGACGCGCGGTGTTCGGACTTGGCCTTCGCCACTGTGCGCCACTTGGGGGCGTTTTCTCACGAATCTCACCCAACCTTAAAGGTCTCTGCGTCTTTCTCTTTGGTCTGAGCTTCCTTGCTTGGTTTTCTGTACTTTCCAGTGTCTCCTTTGTTGAGGGAACGACCTGGCCTATGAAGCTCACATGTTTTTTTGAATCATTCTTGCTAAGTCAAAGGATCATACAGTAAACATACAATAAAAAACAACAATGACAAAGCAATCAACATTGGACTGGCCTTTTAATCTGAAGGAATTAAGGCTCTGGGAAACTCTCAATTCTGACGCGCTCAAACATCGAATTCTTGTCTCACGGCGTTGGTCTCTTCAGGTCTTTTGAGCTGTACGTATCACATGGTGTGCCATCGTTCTGGAGACGGGGCACCACGTCCCAAAACACCACAATGTTCCACAACCACGCTATGCGTGACCGCAAAACGTGTGACCGCAAAAGGAATCTTGGCTGTATGAGCCATTGTGTTCTTCAGCGGCTTTCCTTTCAACATCATTGCACCTTTAAACTGCGCAGTTTGTCATCCATTTTTGCCAAAACCTTTTGTAGCAAGTTTTTGGCAAAAACACTCTCACCTCGGAGGGAAATAGCCTAGATCTTCAGGCGCAACCCCGGATGTGTTGCAAAATGCAAGGAACACGCGGGCACCAAACTCTCACAGGTATAACCAGCTTTCTCTCTCTGAAAGTTGAAGACCGGCATTCCATTTCGTCAGTAGATCGGCAAACACGTATTGGCTTCAACAAAGCTTTAGGCTGTGAACAGTTTGGGGTAAAGGTCGCGCCGTCTCTGGCTCAAATCTGCCAAGACCAAGTCTGCCGTGTTCCTTCCTTTCATCGCAAGTCGACCGTCCCCCCTTGATTGGGGCTCGAGCCATCCTCATTGAAACGAGCCTTTCCTCGTTCCACGACCTGAGCTGTTCAGAGCTGAAACGTTTTTCGCGATGAAACAACGAGGTCACAAGGTCTAGGTCCCCTGCATCAGGCTCCCGACAAACCTGACCACAGAGCGGAAGAGCGGCACACAAAGCAAAGCGGAATAGTGGACAGTATGGGGACATTCAAGGATCACCAGCCGCTTGTCGCCACCCAACACACATAGATTGCCAGAATGTTGGGTCACCACACAAAGAAATCACACCTTCTGCTAGCTGTTGCTGGATACGTGCTTGAAGTGCTCAGGTACACTATACTCACTGCGCAAAGCAGTTGTTGAACGTCATGATCATATTCATGTTGCCAATCATTGGAACTTTCTCAATTGGTCAAATGCACGAGCTATGGTAGCTGCGTGGAGTACCCCGAGGAGATAAGGTTCCCCTTAGTTCTTTCTTGACCCCCAAAAAAAACACGTAAACAGTCACGTAAACCAGTATCACGCACAGAAATAATTCAATCACCAACACTGAATATACACAGCTTGTAAGGGAACTCCAGATTGACCAAATTCTCGGAATACCACTTCAAGTACCACTTCAATGCTTCACTCATTGAACTCCTCCGCCCGAAACACACATCTCTTCACATCTCTTCACTTCGCCTCGATCCAGCAGAAGGGGTCCTCACCCACGATGGCGGGCACCTTGACACCGATCGCGTCCAACACTCACTGGCAATGGTTTCCAACCTCCAACCTAATAACAATGACCTCCAACCCAAGTGATGGCCTCCAACATCCTCCAACCTAATAGCGATGGCTTTCAATCTAGTAGTGTTGGCCTCCCTCCATGCTTTCGCCCTTGTCTCCATCGGAGCCATCCCGAGCGTAGCCATTGTGCCACGACCCAGGGGGTTTTGGATCCATGCTTGGATCAACTATGATAGAACTTGACCTGGTGTGCTTTGGCCGGGAGAGTTCTACTTCGCGGCATTCCGCCACCCATTGAGACGCGTGCTATGGCGTTCCCGATGGTTCCCTCTCTCTCGCTCTCTCTGCAGAGTCTAGCTGCGCTGTCTCACAGCTGTCAAAGAGGGACATATATGTTACTGGCTGCAATTGGAAACAAGAAAGCAATTAAAGAAACAAGAAAAGGATGACAGGTATAATATAGTTTGCAGACTGGTGGGAAGATCGAGAACCCAGCATTTCCATTGAGCTGTTGCTCTGGGATCTCGCCGCCTCGGTCCAAAACCAGCGGCGAAGACTCGACGCGTGACACGTGACGCACGAAGACTCCAAAAAGAACTGTTGACCGTTGCCTGTTTGACAGAAATCAAGGGCAAAAACATAGGATCAAAATTCCCTTTCATCCCGAGTACCTATACAAAGTTCACTTCCTATATGTTAATTTGGTGGAGGGGATGAGTGGGGACCCTGTGTCCGACTGAACCCCTGGGCTTCGCCGGTCCTTGGGGGCCCAACACCATGCCAAGCGACTCCTGGGAGCGGCAAGGCCGAGACCGGTGGCGGCCGGGCTGACGTTTCTTCAGGTCGAACACATGGCTTACACGAAATGACATGAAGAATGAACATGCTTGGCACGATCTTCCTCAAATCAGTTGGTGAACTCCACTTCCATGATTCACTCGACTCACTGAGTCCCGTTCAACGTCGGACGACCGAAGCATTGCAGCGTCGTCTCCTGTGGTTCTTCGGCACGGCCTCCAGGGCGAAATCGGGCATCAAACGGGTCTTGGCCACCTGAGGAAGCAGTCATAGAGCAGGAGAACGACGACGTGGAAAAAACGGATGTTGAAACAGGCAAAAAACAGCCTCATTTGATGTGCCCAGCAGTCTTATGGGGAGATCTCAAGTATGGAACTGCCATGCGTGATCATGTTGCATACTCTTCCCGGAAGCGGAAAAAATACATGGAACTGCCTTCACCCCACCTGCCATGAGTATCGGAACAGGTACTCAAAGGCTAAACCTGACAGCGTTCGACTGGGCGCGCTGTCACGCAGGTGGCGTTACTTTTGTTCTCGAAATCCAGCCACTTGGGCCCCGGCACAGTGAAAGTGACACATAGGAAAAAACCATGAACAGCATGTCCCGTAAACATTTTAGCATGGCCAGGGCCATACTTCACATACACACTGTAGATGAGCATTCATTGGGTGATACAATTTCTCCTTCTCGTAGCTACAAGCAAGATTCAGCAGGAAACTGGAAAAAGGAGTTGCGTAATTGGGTAACAGGATCAGGAGGAGAGACAACTTGCTAAGCTTTCAGGATTCCATGTCAGCTGACATAATGCGCATCATCTGCCGGGCCTCGTTCTGTGGTCTGCCAGGTCCCTTCGAAAATCACCCAGTAGGGTGATGCCTCGTTGCCAGTCTTTTGGGAACCGAGTTCGAGTGAGATCCTCACCATGTAAAAATACCACTGTGCACGATCCGGTGTGGGACAACTTTCGGAGGGTCGGTGCAAAGTTGCGGCAACATGCTGCACATGTGGCTGTCACAGTGACATCAGTGGACATCATCGTTTGCAAGTGATCAGAAAAAGGAGAGCTAGGAAGGCTAGGAGCAAGACCCCTGATCCAGGCAAGGTTTGCTTCATGTAGAAATGTCCACAGTCCTCAGCCCCAAAAGTGCTACAGCACCAAGCAGAACTGGAGGTGAATTGCACCAAGCAGCAAAGAGCTTGATTGAGAATTCCACTGTGCGGGTGCCTTGGTCATGCAAGAATCACTCGTGCGACGTCGTCGACGTCGTGTCCGACCGTCGGGTGACTTCGATCGGCTCAGGTGTCCGGCTGACTTCGCACTCGCCGAAGAACTTCCCACAGGGCTTTCCCTTGACCAAGACCTGAGCCGCGGGTCTTTCAGTCGCACGGATCGTCCGCGCTCAATGGAGCCAACGGCCCTTCCGCTGAGGTGGCGACTTTCGTTTTCTTCGGTTGGAAGGTCGCTGGCCTTACCGAAACCACGCCCGAAAAAAAGCAAAGCGGACCAGGTGAGACGCAACACACTTCTCTCAGAACATGTTCCACCTTTACAAAAATTCAGGGGAATAAACACATGCGTTTTCCGCGCTGGTTCCTTCTGCGACCGCGCTCTCTTTCTCTTGCACTGGGGTTGCCATTGTGAAGCCTCCTTTGAGCTTCCCAGGCCGAACTTGGCCAAACCCACGACCCCTTGGTCGCTGGCAAACTCAGATTGCAAGCTGCCGTTGGTCCCGTCTGCTTCGTCTGGCTTTGCAACCATCACTTGATGTAGGAACAATCTGGGCCCTGAGCCCTGAAAAAAAACTAAGCAGGTACTTGTCAAGGGATAGTCTATGAGGACATTCCTAATAGAGGAGTTCCCTATGAGATCATTTAAAAGGAGTTCCGAATCCAACATCGAACCCCGATACTTCTCTTTCATGCCTCAAGGTGCGAAGGCAAAAGGGCACGCTTGGGATCCGTTTGGATTCCTCTCGGTCGGCGCTGCCGGGAAAAGGAGCGGGCGTTCGCCCACTGAGCCAAAAGAATTATGCCTCCCATGCCATTCGCACGGTAACTCGCTGACAAGTTCCGCATTCAATCTATCGATTCTATATCCATACTCTATCTAATTACTGTTTATGATTGATGACACATGGCCTGGAGGAAAATCCGGATCATCACTTGCTGTGCTGACATGGGAGGACTGAGATGATTGCACTCCAATTGAGGCGTGGAGCAGCGCTGCTCACAATCCGGTGAGGTTGGAAAACATGCCGGAGTAGGCCTCTTCGAAATGACTTACACCCGTCGACATGTCTCACTTTTCGAGTGTCGCACTTCCCACGTCACGACGTCCAGGGTGGGCCCGGTGTCCGGCGAATCGGAGCATCGAACTCGGACCGAGCGACTGGTAGGACACGAAGATGCACACTGTGCGGACACTCGTATACGGCAACACACACACACACTTGGGTCAGATTCGATAGTCTTCCACCAAAAAGTCTCCCCCAAAATCGAGTCCGAAAAACCGGGTGCACCCGCCAAACGACAGTTCGAGGTCACAAACGAGCTTCTGGATTTCTCGGTGTCAGAACTGTGACAGGCGATAACAGCCTGGACACAGCCTTATACACTTCTGGATCTGGAGGCCATTGCTACTAGGTTGGTTTGCAAATGCGCTCTTGCAACAGCCTCGTATGCTGAGAAGGTAATCGCTTGGCCGATGGAAATCTTCATGAGCCGTGGGGCGATGCCTTTGTAGAAGGCCATGAAACCTCGCAAAGGTGCTGCGCAAAGAAAAACCAGAGCTACACCTCGTTTCTGTGTATGCGTCGGTGGCCTTTCTTACTGTGTCGCCTCACCAAAAACTGGTGCACACAGCGTTTCTTACTTTAGTAAGCCAGGCTGACTCTAAGCTTTGAGTTGTGCGATGCAATGGCGCTTTGGCTTGGAACCACAACTTACAGCAGGTAGCTGGCATGCTTAATGAGCAAAACAAGGGTTACAGAGCTGCCACGCTAAGGAGGCCAAGGGGGCCATAGAGATTCCGTAGCTGGTGTGTTGCTCCTGTGTTGCAGGGCGGGGTAGCATGCTGAGGGGTCAGAAGTCTTGTAGTTGGCAGTTTTTGACGAAGGAAGCACATGATGTATGTGGCGCGTTGGGGGGGTTATAAAGAACTGGGCAATCGTTTCAGGTGGCTAAAATTGAGTGGTGTGTTGGGGTGGCGCTGGCGTGCCATTGCTGGAACCAAAAAAAGAAGAGCCAAACAAAACGCCGACAAATAGCAAGGAACTGCTAGAGGACCAAGCAAGTAATGGTAAACCATGCAAAACAACATGGTGCCAGAAAGAATTGCATCCTGTAGAATGCACTAGACGTGTAAGGGTCACAAGAAGATCAAGAAGAAAGGTACGACACACACGCCAACGCGAGCCAACACAAAAAATCAATACCATCATGCACCAGAAATCGGCAAAAGCAACCAGCAGAAGTTCGGAAAACCCATAACCTCAAAAAGGGCGCCAAAGCAGAAGCCCAAGAACAAACAATCCAACATTCAAGAGAAATAATAGATTTCTTGCCAGACAAACAAACGGGCCAATTGTTAGAAGGCAAAAGAGGAAACTAAGAGAATGGGTGAAAGCGCTGGGCAACATGAAGGAGAACATCTGAAATGTGGACAACGCAAGGAACATGCTAGAAATCCCAAAGCTGGACACAACCAAATAAACAGTTGCAAACAATGATGCTTGGCCCAAAAAGGAGACATGCGTGACGCTGCCAGAGAAGAGAGCCACTGCACCACAGCAGCTACTGCAACATGCCAAACGTCATGCTAAAGACTCCCAGAGCCACATCAACAAAACGCAACGCAACATGCGAACGTGGATCAACAAGTGGGGCGAACGAAGGGCAAGCATGAAAGGTGCTAGGCAAAGTGAACGTCAGAATTGGACAATGGCTGGCAATGGTGGCTAGGCAAGCCACTAGCAGCTGGGCAAGCCACTAGGCAAGCCACCCCCAAGCATTGTTGAGTCGGAGAAGTGTGAATCGAGCAAACTGTCACATTGAGGTTGAAAGTAAGGAAGCTGGCATGTTGAAAAGTCGCCTTCAAGAGCTATGTAGCTGGCTGGTGTATGGTGTGGGGCTACTACAAGCCTATAAGCAAGCTAGCTGGCATGTTGAAGGGGCTAAAGATAGGCAGCGCTGTGGGCAACGCACCCAAAAGACTCGGAGCGGGTTTCCGCCGCGCCTTCTTGCTTCAGAATGGCTCGGAAGGCCTGGATGGTGCCTGCCACCGCTACCGTCCGTTTGACCGAATGGACGTGCCGTGCGGGTGCAATTGATCCAAACCACTAGCGCTGAGGGGCTTGGGACTAATTGTAGTGGCAGGAATCCTCATACAACACCTCTACAAGTCTTGGTGAGTTGTTCTTTTTTCTTTTTATAGGTACCTCCGTTGCTTCGAACATGGACAGCACCGTAGAACCGCGCCGCCGGGAGCGAGCAGCGTGCCTGTGTACTCTTTGGTCTTCCCATCTTGCGCTTCGATCCTCGACTTGATGACCTCCGTCGCGACGCGACCGGTCGCGACTCCGGTCGCGACCGGTCGGGTCGGCCATCGATGTCGGTGATGGGGTCAGTGTCAGAGCCGAAGTCGAAGCACCCTTGTTTTCATAGCCGGCTTTCCCGAACAACCATTGTTTCACGAAAAGTGGGGTAAACACTACAAAACCAGATCAACCATTTTAAAACATGGTCGACTTGACTTCCAGGGACAGGATACACCAGTATACTGTCCAACTCATCCTTTTTCAACAGTACAGTGTGATTCAGTATGTTGGATGTTGTTGGTACTCTTCGGAACCTCCGGTGACGGGTATCATGGGGTGTGGGGGGGGGGGGGCAATCGCACCCATCCGGATGATGCACATGATGCACATTTTCCTTGAGCTTCCGACATCAATGGGATTGTTCAGCAAGGTGCTGCAACAGCCGGTGATGCCTCCTGCTGTTGTGACAGGCAGGTGGCAAGGTTGCTAGTTATTCCTCAGCTCTTTGTCTATTATCTCGCAGTACTTTTCTGTTTATATAGGGGTTTTGTCACTGGTCCTTCGAGTATCTATCGCATCCCTTCGTTCAGTCCTTTTCATGCGACTCTATCGATTGTGTGGGAGCCACAGTGAGCAGGGTGGCTTTGATTCAGTGGCCGGTCCGAGTGCTTTTGCTTTAATCCGTGTCACGATCGTCTATTCCAAACCCAAGAGTTTCACCTATTCAATTTACATTGAAGGCAACAGCCATATTCACCCTGGTTCGCCCGAAGTCCAAAACACGTTCAGAAGACGTGCTCGCATTGGACATAGCCATCCTTTGAACCCTGAACTGCTTAAAGAGCAGTTCGCCCCCAACCGGTCCAAACATCCCCTTTTCTGGGATATATTCTTATGTCTCTTCTTGGTTTGGTGTCTTTCACAAACCAGCACAAACAACTCAAGTGCACGCACGCACGCATCAAGTGCGTTTCTTGAAGGCTTTTAGACCACTTTCGGCCCTTCAGACCTATCTTTTCTTTACTCTACCCCCTTTTGGGGGGAGCACTTCCTCATCTTCCTGAAAAAAGCCGCCTGCCATGGCAGATTGCCACATTTGAGGCGGATCGCTGGTGATGGCAGCCTGGCACGGGCACCACCTCCGCTCACAAACATCGGCCGTATAGCCTGACTCCCGAGCCGCTTCGTTTTTCCTCTTTCTTTTGCAGAATGCCCTTACTGAATTTTGTAGGCACTATATAGTTGATTGTATCACTATAGGGCTAGGTACTACGCTCCGTTACGCTCCTAGGTAGGACGCAGGGTAGCTCATACATATCCGTTTTCCTCAGAAAACTCAATGATATTAATCGAAGTTTCGACCTGCTCCTGTCGAGTGCAGAAAGGAATTCCCCAAAAAGGCTGAAGGCTACCCACTGAATGGGTGTACGATATCCTCGATGACCTTGGAATACAGCTGACAAAGGACCTAACCCGGAACGAGTGCAGGGGATGCCACTTGAAGCAACGGGATCTTGAGAGAAGGTTGGTATAATATTAAGCCAGGCTGCAAATGTTACGTGGTCCAACAAACAAGACCGATGAAGCATTGCAACTCTGATTGGGCGGCGCCTTGACTCTTCCATATAGTGCAAAGCGCACTCCCACGCCACTCGCTTGTCGAATGCCAGTGGCACCAATGCCTGATGGCGAAATCTTGGCATGATCATCGGACAGTAGACTTACTGTACATTGCTGCAAAAAAGAAGAGCAACACCTGGGCACATGTGGCTGGAGGGTCAAACCACGGCACCAATCATCAACACAATGTTTTCTTGGCATGACACATGTTTCTCTCTTTTGCTCTCTCAAGCCTGTTTTCTTTCTTGACATCGTCCCTTTTGTATCTTTTCTTTCATGACACCTCTAGACCTTTCATGACATGTCTTTCTCTTTCTCGATTTCTTGATAGATCGTTCTTTCTGGTCCTGGACCGCCCCAAAAAGAATCCCAAAAGCCTGCATAGAGACCGGTGATGCCGTGTTCAGTGGCCACCTTGGTGCACACAAAGGGAGCACAAAGGACGCATCAGGCGCCTGATTCGTCCCAAAAAAACACAAAGACACAAACATCAGTTGATGGTGGTCAGTTTTGTTAAGCAGATTTTCAAGTCAAACTGGCTCAAGCCAAGAAAGACCCTACTTGGATTCCAAAAAGACCAATTGAAAACGTGCAAAGCGAAGCAAACTCCGCCGGTTTCTGCGGTAAGCCAGCTTGCTCTGCCTCGACCGTCCAGGACCCCGCACGGTCCGGATGGAACCCACCAGGCTGGAGTATCTGTTCCTCAGGTTAGAGAGCGACACGAATGTGAGACGAATAACTAGGAGGAATGTGAGACGAACACACAGGAAAACATATTTACAGGTGTGTATATTTTATATACCACATATGCTATAGAAGTCGAAAGGCTAATATTTTGCCTGAGTGAAGTAAAGGATGTTCCCCTTCACGTACCCTAAAGACAATTCTTTTTAAAGTTTTTGACTCTCAGGGTATATAGAAGGTGCTTGGGCTACTTTGACAACAGGCTCCTAGAAAACCTGGATCGGGAGTTGCCTCTTGAGCGATGACATTCTACGACACGCTGACATCTTGAAAAAAAAACATGGCTAAGTTCATCGACCCCATCTCAACACCCACCAATTCATCTCTGCTGATAGCGCAACTTGAGTTTAAAAAGTCTTTTTCCATAAGACTCCTCAAGCTCTCGCTCCCGCGGATTCCAAGCTCCGCGGATTCCAAGCTCCGCAACTGCAGATGTAAACAGGTGATCTGTCGTGATCTGGGGCGGCCCCACAAGCCAGACTTGATGTCATTCTGCCGCAACACTTTCAGTCGCTCCGTCGGGGTGGTCCACAAGAAGGCCTGGATGAACGGAGAGAAGCATCGAACGGAGGTGTAAAGCGTAAAGGGCCCCAAAGCACCGGAAGGAAGGAGACAGGTGTCCAATTCGTTTCTTCTTCTGAGGGCGTTCAGAAAGAACTCAGGATTTTTTTGGGGGAAAGACACTTATTTCGAAGAACAGCCGCACAACACTGGCAGGCTTTATACGGTTGCTGGCAGTTCCGTGGGGAGCACCTAATGCATCCTAATGCTATACTAACCTCTGGGGGCTGGCGCCCAAAAACCATCTTCCATCGTGGATGCAAGGTGAAACTTGGTCACTTGATCACTTCCTTCGACCGATCTCCAAGCGTTCGCACCGTGCATGCCACATGCCTCCCCCGCATCCCTCGAACCCGCATCCTCCAGAGATCACTCATCACTCTCCTTTCACTCTCCCCCTCTCCTCGGCAAAGCCGGCGCCGATGCCGGCCAGGAAGTCGATGGATCCTTTGGGCACCGGTGTGAGGTGCATGAGGAACTTGAACCTCAGGAGACACCGACATCAAGCGCCACCCGGACCGAACGCCCGACGCCCGCGTGACGCGGTTCGCGACGACCTCGCGCCCAGGCGCTGCTCGAAAGCAGTGAAGCGAATCGCTCCCTTTCCAGCCACCTGGAGGTGTTCCAGGCCGGCGCCCGTTCTTATGGGGTGTGAGATACAGTGAGATACCATGAGATACCGGAAAAAACCATGTGTGAAGCGGTTAGGAAAGCCTTGATCTCCACAGTTCTTGAAGAAGGAGCACTCGATTCGAAGAATACAGAGACGCTTGAACCAGCTTGTGGTAAGTTAGGTCATGTTAGATCGTGTCTGACTTTTCAATTGCCTCCTTTTGCCTACGACCTCACGCAGGAGTGGAAGGTCATCAGAAGCCAAGGGCTGATGACCGCTCCCCAAATCGGAACAAACTCAAGGTGGCACCTCAGATGGCACAAAAGTTGTTGAGTTGATCTTTTCCTTCGGGGACACCTGCATTCCGATAAGTTTTCTCACTTGGAGTTCCAACACTGCGGTTTGTGGCATCTGGTCCCATTCTTGCCTGCAAGAGCACGGCGGGCAACCCGAAGTAGAAGCCCTGAAAACCTGACGACACATCCAACCCAACCGTCGACGGCCAATTTCCGAACTCGTCTGAACCTTGTCTAAATTGGGTGCCGAATGCGCGACACGGCGGGTTTTTCACACATGTTTCCCATGCCCAAAATGCGCGACAGTTGTGGAGCTTCCGCGGCCTTTGAGCTGATAGATTTGCCGCGCCCCTGCCATTGGGCCCATGCCAGTTCGGTTCACCTGCGCCCATCGACCGAAACCCCGAGCCACCAAAGCCACGAGGCTCGGTTCAAAACTAAAAGTATCAGATGTTGAGGAACACTTGGACCGTTTTACTCATCAACTGTAGATCTATACATGATTTTTCGCATTTCTTCTACATCCTCTTCGATCTACTCGTCTGAACCGCATCGATCCATTGAATCGACGGTCTTGACGGACGCCTGGCAGAAGGTCTTGACGGTGTCCAAGGGCATCGTGACGGAGACCTGGAGAGAGGGGCCACAAACGGGGTGGGTTATCACTGAAAGGAAAAGGAACAAAAAAAGAGGTGGGAACAGTTGGGGTGGAGGCCATCGCGCTTCCTTTTTTTTTGGGGGGGGGTTGGAGGCCATTACAATGGCCATTGTTGCTATAGCAATGACCGGAGCAGGGATCCCAGCAACACTCTTGCCATCTCCCAGTTGCCGCTTTCGTTCGCCGCTTCCACTCGTGGAACGCCACATCGTCCCACCTCCGTGGCGCCCGAGCAAAAGCCTGCCATGAAGCTCACCTGGGTTTGGTCGGATTTCGGGCTCGCCCTGACGAACACAGACCATCAGACCGGTGTTCCATTGCCCCGCACCGGGCGGTGCTCAACTGAATGTCAGACCGAAGTGAATTCCATCGCGAAAAGAGTTCGATGACCCTTGGAATCAACCTGCCCGTGCTTCGCGCTTCTCGCGTCAGCTCAAAAATGCACCCAACACCACTGGGCTCCAGAACAGCCCAGTGAGCTTTCTTTTTCTGTGCCGCGGCATCCACCACCTAGCGGCTTAGGTAGCGATGTTGTTGCAAGACAGAAGGCCGAAACGGTCACCTCAACTACCCGGCAACTGATAGCGATGGCCTCCAACCTAAGAGTGAGTACTGGCTGCTATATATACTCCCTGGGAGTCAAAGACTATCAAAAGAATGGTCTTTAGGTGACCCGAAAAGGAAGATGCTTTACTTCAGTTGGTCAAAATATATATAGTCTTTGGACTTCTAGGGTGCTCCTTACATCATCCTCACTTTTTGACGCCAGTCACGATTTCGCTCGTGTCCACATGAGATCTCATTGCGTGGGACGTGAACCGTCGACGGTCACGGTTTCGAACAGTCGACCTTGGCAGGCAGCGATGCTGATGCTGATGCTGATGCGGATGCCAATGCCATGTCCTGCCAATGTCCCGAACTCTTTTTGCATCTCGGAGGTCCTCTCAATTGAAAACCACAAGAAGGGGGGGCTGAGGCAAACTGGAGCGTACCGATCCCGCCTGTTAGAGGTGATAAGGGTTCCACTCTGTGAAGTGAGTCTTCTCTCAGAACCTGCTTTCCTTCATAGATTCTGGCTCGAAGACGCCCTCCGAAGCACCCTCCGAAATTGGGCACTCTGAGGCTCGGGCGAGGGTCGACTTGTCCGCAGACCGGCGCGGTGGCTGTTCCGATGCTGGAGCCCGGAAGAGAACGAGTCCCAAAGGGGAAGAGGATCGTTTTCTTGCTGCAAGCTTGGTCTCTGGGGTCTCAGGTTAGCAGTGGCAGACATGGTTGGAGGCCATTGCTATTGGGTTAGAGGCCCTGTTGCTAGTTGAATCGCTTCTTTGAGGCGAAGGGAGTGGAGGAAAAGACCACGCGACGCTCACACTCCAGGGCCCCGGCACAGCTCGCTCCGGCAAGCGGAACCTGCAGCGAGAACCCGAGTGGTGGCGGAGGGCGTTAAAGCAGCATAACGATGTTGGGTTGATGTCTCAAATCTCCACAACGCCCGTGCAAGGTTACATGAAATTCAGTCTTGAAGTGTTATTGTTGGGGCTTTGGGGTTTGGGTTCTTGCATGTTCTTGCATGGCCATCCCAAGTTCTTGCAACTGAGCGATTCCAAGCCCTTGACTTGATGACCTTCTCCTCAAACCGGGTCTTTGTCCTGTCAGGGACATGAGGAGAATACCGCCCCTGAGGTCTGCTCAAGAGAAAGCAGCTGAGCTCAGCTGACGAGTGACTAGTGACGTCATAGACTAAGTACCTCCAGTGTGAAAAACGTCGGTATGACGACGATCTGCCATTTCATTCACTCAGGATGACGTTCATTCATGATTCATTCATATATTACATTGATAATACCTCCACAGCTCTCCATTTCTTCACCTCTATGGTGAAGACCGAGACCGACTGAGGCTTCCCCAAATCCCGCGCTTGATGGCCACGAACTTGGGGATGTCGGAGGCTTCATTGATCTGCACCTGGATGTTCACAGCGCTGATGCAAACGCTGACATGGCAAAGACAGATGCACCAAGAAGAACTTCAAACAAAAAGAAAAAGAGATACACAGAAAGAAGGTGAAGGGGGCTGAAAGGCACCAAGTGAATTTAGTGAATGTCTTCTTTCCTTTCCTCTCAAAGGGGCATGGCTGAAAGGCTCCAGATACCTTTTCCAGCACGTTTGGTGACTGGACCAGCTGAACAGATCGACTCGGCACGACCCCCCCCGGTCCTTCTCGATGTGGTCGGTCCCTATGACCTCAAAAGGCCGGCCGGTCCAGCGGCAGAAACGGTGGACGCTCCGCAACGGCCATGTCGCTCAGCTCCAAACGCCATAGGCCGTTGCCTGGAAAGTCGTAATCAGAGACACGAGGAGAGGGGAGTACGAGTAGCATGGAGTAGCTGGGCCATGTCAAACATGTGACTCATCCTTGCCCTATCGTCGCGACTCCACGTCGCTTTCAGCCTGAAGCTCTTCGAATGTCATGGGGCACTCAAAGGCCTCACGCCAACTCGTTGCGCGTCTCGTCGGATCTTGGCGTTCGAACCCTCGACCAAGCACCAAGGCCACTCCCTTTTGGCTGGCGAAGGATTTCCTGGTGTCCTGGTGGTTTCCTCTTGGCTTGGTGCGAATTGTAGGATCAATTTGAATCATACTCTAACACAGCCATGATGAAGATCTGTGTAGGTGAATTTTTGCAGGTGCGTTTGGCAGCTGCTGGGTGCCACATGCTGCCACACTGCAGTACAACCTCCCACCGGTCTGGTTTTTTGTGCATTTTTCTCCGCGGTCGTCCTCAGCTTGGCCGAGTCGGACCGGTGACGGAACGGAAGGGGCCGAACCTGGCCGAACCTGAAGCCCTGCTCGGATGAGACCTGCTCGGAACTGGGAGTTCGATGCGGCCAAGAGCTGTCAGTTTCTCGATCTGGAATCCTTAAAGTTACAAAATGCCACAAAATCCTGCACAAAAAAAAACGGGCCAAATCATTATCACCGAAAAGAAGAAGTCATGGACCGCCAAAAAGACGTGGATTTGATGGATGTTTTTCATCGCGGAGTCTCAGGGCCCAGGTTGGACCATGATCTAGGTCGATTAAAAGAATCCCGGAGAAACACCCGGGAAACGGTCGTACGTGGGGGGATTACATCGGATGATCTATTTACTTCGATCGATTCCCCACCATGACATTTCAAGCACTTGTCTTCATTCCATGGTGAGGGAGCATGTTGCCATGGTAGGGGAAGAAAATTGAAGCCATTCTCGAGGAAAAAATTGGCGTGCCTCCAGTGGACACATTCTGCAACTTTCGCAAAGCGGGAACGGAATCAACACACCCTTTGAGAACGTGCTGTTCTGTACACCGCTGCTCCGGCCGTTCGCGTGGGATGACACTTGGTAACAAAAAGTTCTGTAAAACCGGCCGTTCAGCGTGAGCCTCTGACCTTCTGGAGCTTCTCTTCGAACACTGAAGGAACACACTGAAGGAACGCACAAACCCCAAATCTCACTCTTCCGTCTGGGCGACGGGGTTGGTGCTACCAGAGGTCTGGGCATGCAAAAGAGAGCTTCCAAATCGATCCTGTTTTTTGGTTGGCAAGAAGGGGGTTATGAAGGGAAGAAATCGACTCATGTATGTTGAATATGGGATTACTTTAGTCCAAATACATCCAAATACCCCATTGCAAAAACATGAGTGGCATCACAGGAGTATCCTCATTGTGTGTTTGCAGTCAACAAAATCATTCTTACTGGGTTTCTGAAACTCAAACCTGCCCCGAAAACCTACCAAATCAGTTCTGGTGACATGTCGGAGCGCGAATCACCCCAAGAAGCACCGGAAATTTGAAGGAGCGTTGAATGTAGGCTCTGTGCTATTTGCCTATATTTGCCCTACACCCTGCCCCATCAAAAACAATGTTTCTCAGTATATTCAGTTCAACACATGACGCTACAAAAATTAGTCGATGCGTGATTTTCGTATATAACATACCCAGGGCATCCAGTTACCACTATAGCATAGACCGGTTCCGAATCCCCGGTTCCTTACTACTAGTGGTTTGCCTGGGATGCACTGGGATACCTTATATAGTGGTACCTGGACTACTTGAGAACCCGGATGTTCAAAGTGCTCATCGCTTTCGGTCGTGACTCTCAGGGCCGGTCGCTCACTGGTCCGGTTCGCACGACTGGTGTGCGCTCCCGAAGCTCTTCGAAGGCTTCGATGAGGCCTAGGAAGAGGCCACCGTGACACGAATTTCATCGAATTTCAGGTGTCTTTCGCCTTTTTTGATCCGTTTTTTTTGGCACGTTTTTGCAGACCTTTGCCGCGATGGCCGAAGAACATGAAAGAACCATGATCACGAAGCGTCACACAATTTTTGCCAATTTCGTTTCAGAACGACCAAAGCACTGTCAGCTGATTCTGAGAGAAAGCTCTACTTGTGTTCTGCTTAGTGTTTTAAGAGGAGTTGCAATCATCAGGTGTGGTACGGTAATTATGTGCTCGGCTCGTATGCTCTCTGCTGATGTCAGCCTGCTACCAGATTGTGTGCCTGGGAACAGTTGAAAATGAATTCATAGAAACTACTACAAATTTATAAGAACACATCAAGAATAGACTGTTTGCAGGCCGGTTGAAACTGGAAGCGGTCAATACAAACTACACTACTTTCGCCAAGGTAAATAAATACACACATACAAATGCCCAAAGAAACAGCAGTTCAGTTCCCGTGAAAATACATGTCATAGCCTGAGGTTCTAACTTGCCTGAATCATACTGTCCACCAATGGGGCTACACTGCGCCACTGTACGTCATCGAAAACAACAGTGGAGAGGCCTCCACCCAAGCAGTGGAGGGGTCTCTTTTTGTCTCACAACGAGCGCCCGGATCACGATCGCTCCGTCTGAGATGGTTCCTTCACCGGGTCACGAGCACTGTGGAGCCATTGTTGATGAGTGAACACTGAGAGTAGGCTCGAGACACTCATCCTCTGCAACGTCCGACGCACATGTCGCAAGTCCTCGGATGAAATCTTCGCGCGCACCGGGTGCGACCGGAGTCCATGAACGCGGCCAAAGCGTCGGATGCCCTTGTGACTACTACAGCTTCTTGCTACTAGTAGTCATGGCCTCCAACCTACTAGTATAGCTTCTTGCTACTAATAGCAATGCCCTTGTTACTAGTAGCAATGCCAAAAGCGTCTTTCTGGATGACTTTCCGCCACGCCCCTCCCCTTCTACTCCCGTCCTACCATCTCCTACCGTGCCACGCATCATGCTCATTGATTGCAGCATCCTCTTCTGCATCGTTTCTGTTTTGCACCAACTTCTCCAGGATGGATAAAATCTCTTCTCCAGTGGCAATTCCAGTGGCTTCCAATCGTGCCCGGCCTCAGGCTCTGGAAGACTGGATGGGGTAGGCCCTCAAGCATTCCAAGCACATACTGAGCCGCATCACTTGTGAAGCACGAAGCACTGGGAGACCAACACGCCCTTCGCCCAGATTAGACCGGCTTTTCGATCGAGATTTCGGCACGGCGACGGACACTCCGGAGATGAGCCCCAAAAAGAACTACATGTGTTTTTTCATGTAAAACCACGGGCCACTGAAAATGTGTACTGGATCGATCTCAAGATTGGAGAGCTCAATCGCTTCACCTTTTCTTTAAGAAATGTTCGTTCAAACACCTTTTCTTTATATCATTGTTCTTCCCATCCGAACCAATTGGAGCCCAACATCACTGTGAACTGCTACGCCATACTCTGTTTAGCCTACCCCCATACCGACCAGCAAGCACCAAACAAACTCCCAGTCTTCGGTCGGCCAACCGTGGGCACTCCGCTTTCGCCAAGCAGCAGGACGGCAAAATGATCCCTGCAAGTTGTCGTGCGCTCAGGGCCCTGATCACTGTCCGCTGCTTCTTGTCCAACTTCACCTGGAATTTTTGAAAGCAATGGATTCAAGAAAAAACATATTAGTTTTTTAAACTTTGATCTAATTAGAACAAATGTCCTTTTCCATCCTTTTCCCTTTCGTTCTTTGTTTAAGGCTTACGGTCTTGACCCGTTCTTTCCTTTTTTTTTCCTCTTCATTCTAATCGTCAAATGGCCTTGGCCCACGCAAAGGCAACAAACGCATGCTGCAATTACGATCCGCTACGGGAACCTGGCCGAAACAAATCCCTGATGCCAACCTGAAAGGCCAAGTTGCTGGCTTCTCTGGATGTTGGATGTGACAAAAATTGCATGACTCTCCCTTCTCACAATTGCGCGCCATAAAATGGATGCC